CAACCTTTCTTTTTCCCGGAGTACTTATGTTATCATTATCACTTGTTGTACACCGACTGTTGTTCTCATACCTTCTTTTTCTTATCTTTAGGTTACTATGATTTCGAACTGAATTCTGCCCCACCCCACCCCACGTTTACTGGTTTCAATTATTTCTATAGTCAATAATTAATCTTTCTATTAGGATCTTGGTCCCAGTTTAGTTCAAGTGTAGCCAATCCCAGCAGTACAGCTCCTTCCAATCCATGAAATGGAACTCCTCCTTACTACACTACTCTTTCAGCCACGTATTCACTTGCTTTTCCTATAGTAACTTGTAGGTGGTACGGATAGTAATTTGGAGATTACCAACCCGGAGAACTGTTTTTTTTAAATTTAGAACAGTTACTCTCTTAGCAGAATTTTTTTCATACTCTTTCCTATGTCGTGGGAAACAACTGATTCTTTCTCCTCGCTTTCCAGACACTTCAAAATATTCCTTACCTCGATACGAGATAGGCAACAACCCTCCTGGATTCTCGATCGGACTGCAGATTCCCTTAAAGATTGAATCCCTTATAACTACAACATATCTATTCTGTTCCTCCCCACCTTGACCTGCTGTTTTCTCCAAGATGCTTGATTAGCATTCTGGCCATTCTCCCCGCAGCCTTCTTCTTTATCCCCAAAGGTAGAAAGTACATTGTACCTGCTGGATATGACTAGTTTCTGCGATCCCTTCTTCGCTGCCTCCACTTCCACTCGAATCCTCCTCCCACTTTACTGGCTTAAATTCTCTACTCTGCTGACTGTGCATCAAACACGCCTCTTTCTATACCTCACTATCAGGTGTGATTGTGCTATGGAGTAAACTATCCAGATATTCCTCCCCCTCCCTTGGAGTCCTGTAGCTCAGTGGTTAGAGCACTCGCTTTGCAAACGAGAGACCAGAGTTCAATTCCAGGCAGGTCAGGGCGAAACCTTGGGCAAGGTTCCTTACTCCACACAGAGCCTAATAATAATCCCTCCAAAACAAAACAATAATAAATTGGTCATTTTCAATCTACGACTGTTTGTGGGACATTGCTGTGCGCAATTGGCTGCCGCGTTCGCCTACAAATATACAGTCAATTCACTTTACAGTGTGTTCTGTGAAGCGCTTTGGGACGTCCTCCCGACGTGAAAAGAGCTATATCAAATGCAAGGATTCTTATTATTATTATTATTATTATTATGTGTTGGAGTATCTCTAACTCACACTCCAGCTCAACGATTCACTCAGATGTAATCATCTAGGACAATCTCATTGCCCACAAATTCCCAACAATCTGCTGTCCCGACACACTGCCTGTGCTGGCATTATCTACTCTGTATTTATTTAAATTTTATTTTAGAGTGCTTATTTATTTATCCTTTTTATTATTTATTGAATTTTTATTGACTTACTTAAGGCTGCTAGTTAGGTTTTAGGCTTGCTTCGCATTTGTTCATTTCTTTTTTAAGTTTAGTAGCCCCTTAATCAATAATACAGTTAAATATTCAAGTGTGAATCAATAATTCAACATTTAGCTTATATTCCTCTAGTGAGCATCTCCTTCCCCCTCTGCCTTAATTCCCACTCCCACCAAATTCTTGTAATGGAATTCTCACTCTGTTCCCACCTCACTCCATTCACAGCTCACTGTTTTGTTTTAAAGTAAATTTAAATTTTCAAAATACGTTTTTATTTAACATCAATTATTGTTTGGACACATCAATGGATCCCAGTCCACATCGCAATGCATCGATGATGCATCATTTAATTTATTTAGACTGCATTTAATTATGTCCATCACAACAGAAAAAACATAACAGAAGAACATAAGAAATACAAACAAAAACAAGGTCCATCTAGGACCGTGTTTTAAGAAAACAGAAAATACTGCAGATGCTGGAAATCTGAAACAACATGTGTAAACGTGTGTGTACTGTGCACATTGAGTCACCATCCAAAATCAGAAAATGCGTATTTTCTGTGAGTGAGTGCACACTAGGGTGTTACCCGACTGTTTAAAGGGAACAGTCCAAAAAATGAGTACAAATCTGATATTTCCCACCAGCTTGTGCTCATGGAGAATAACATTAATTAAATGAAAGTAAAGTGCTGCCATAGAGTATAGCATGTTTAACTTGAATTGCTGCGCTGGTACCTATTGGACATGACGAGTTCCTACGATCCCTTCTTCTCTGCCTCCACTAGATATTTCCACCCAAACCCTCCTCCCCCTTTACTGCCATTGCACCCTCCCTGATCCCAACTCCCCCCCCACACCCCATCTGTTCGAGTCCTAATCGCTTTACAAATGTAATTTTCTATTACTCGTGGAGTCCTGTAGCTCAGTGGTTAGAGCACTCGCTTTGCAAGTGAGAGACCTGAGTTCAATTCCAGGCAGGTCAGGGCGAAACCTTGGGCAAGTTTCCTTACTCCACACGCCTAATAATTATCCCTCCAAAAAACCAAAACAATAATTAAATTGGTCATTTTCAATCTACGACTGTTTGTGGGACATTGCTGTGCGCAATTGGCTGCCGAGTTCGCCCACAAATATACAGTCAATTCACTTTACAGTGTGTTCTGTGAAGCGCTTTGGGACGTCCTCCTGACGTGAAAAGCGCTATATCAAATGCAAGGATTATTATTATTATTATTATTGCATTATTATTCATTAAAAATTATTATTATTCATTTATTATTATTTAAGATGACACAGAATTGCAGAAAATTCTTAAATTCCAAAGCCATTTTTGTACAAACTGTGGAAAAGCAGCTTCCAAACCAAGACTGAATCAAAGAATGTTCCACCTTTCCACATGGTTTCTTAGGCTAAGGCTAGGTGGGATTTCAGGCCTTGGGAATAAAATGAAAGAAAGATTTAAGATTTTTTTTTAAAAAGAGTGGTTTTGGAACACAAATTGCTTTCCCGGGAAGCGTCTGTGTTGATCTAGGCGTGGGCGATATAAATTGTTTAATGGAAATGATCAGGTGCTGCATTTATTTAGTGTTGTTTTACTTCACTCAATCTTCACGGATCTGCCCTTGCCTGGTTCGATTCCCATCTCTCTGATCGTTTCCACTTTGTTGCCTCTAACGGTTTCTAACGGTTTCTCCTCCAGCCCCTGCACTGTCACATCTGGTGTCCCCCAGCGCTCTGTCCTTGGCCCTCTCCTCTTTGATAATAATAATCCTTGCATTTGATATAGTGCTTTTCACGTCTTCTCAACGTCTCAAAGGGCTTCACAGAATAGACTGTAAAGTGAATTGACCGTATATTTGTGGGCGAAACGTGGCAGCCAATTGTGCACAGCAATGTCCCACAAACAGTCGTGGATTGAAAATGACCAATTTGTGATTGTTTTTGTTTTTGGAGGGATTATTATCAGGCGTGTGGAGTAAGGAAACTTGCCCGAGATTTCGCCCCGACCTGCCTGGAATTGAACTCAGGTCTCTCGCTTGCAAATCGAGTGCTCCAACCACTGAGCTACAGGACTCCAAATATCTACATGCACCCCCTTGGTGACATCATCCGCAGACATGGGGTCAACTTCCACATGTATGCGGATGACACCCAGCTCTATCTTTCTGCCTCCACCCCCAACTCCAGGACCACTGCTGTCCTGACATCAAGTCCTGGATGAGAGTTAACTTTCTTCAATTGAACGTCAACAAGACCGAGGCTCTCCTGATTGGCTCCCATCAGTACCTCCTCACCTCAGGCATTGACAGCATCACCATCCATGGTTGCACACTCCACCCTGCTAAGCCACTACCTCACCCCTCAGGCCACTGAAACTCTTGTTCATGCCTTCATCACCTCCAGGCTTGACTATGCCAATGACCTGCTTGTTGGCCTTCCTAACTCCTCCCTCCAAAGGCTGCAGATAATCCAGAACTCTGCAGCCCGTGTCCTCTCCCGCACCAAACTCCGTGACCCCATCTCCCCCATTCTCGCCCGACTCCATTGGCTCCCTATCCTTTAGAGGATCCAGTTCAAGATCCTGGTCCTCACCTACAAAGCCCTCCATGGCCTCACCCCATCCTACCTCTGCGACCTCCTAACCCCTACCAACCCGCCCGCTCCCTCCGCTCAGCCGGCTCTGTCCTGCTCCACATCCCCCGACCCATATGCCCCACCATTGGCAGGAGAGCCTTCAGCCACTCTGCCCTCAACCTCTCGAATTCCATCCCCCAGTCACTCCGCCTCGCCCCCTCCTTAGCCTTCTTCAAGTCTCGCCTCAAGACCCTCCTCTTCGACCATGCCATCGGCCACCCCACTTCCCCTCCCCTCCCTTACTCCCCCAACCCCAGCTCGGGTCTGAAATCCTTTACACTGTCCAGCGCCTTGGGATGTCCTCCCGACGTGTAATCTTGTTGTTGTTGTTATATTGTAAGTAAAACAGGGAGGCCAGGCCGCCTTCCTTTACTTTACTGAACAATAAAGTAAATAAACATGGGCAGTGGGTCTGCATGCCAGCAAATTTAGACAAGTGATTAATAAAACCACATTAAATGAAACAGTTTACATGCTACTTTTCTAACCGACTCTTTGTTGCTTCAAACACCTCGAGCGTGTATATTTTTGCACATGTTAAATAAAAATGTTATTTTTTTTAACAATTGAAATTTACTGCCAGCGAGAGGAACACAGGCTTGAAAACAAACTAAAAACAGATGTGTCCATTTCTTCCCACATGAGCTGCATCGAAACATAATCTATCAAACATTGTGGAGAGAAAAGAGCATTTACGAACAGTCTGTTTTTGCACACACAGTGACACAGTAAACAGTCTCCACTTTTGTTCACCATAAACATCATGGTAAACTCCTAATATTACACCAACAACAACAACTTGCATTTATATAGCACCCCTCATGGAGGGTAACACCTCAGAGCTCTTACACCTGACCAAACTAAACATATTTATTGATTGCAGGCAAATCGGTTACCAAAGAGCAGACAGCATGTAAAACAAAGTGATCAAACCTAGCTTTTCTTCCAGCTTCTCGTTTCTTCCCCCCCTCCCCCCCCCCCCACAGTCATCCTGACTTTTGTTAGCTTTTGGGTTAAAAAGTAATAGTAACATTCTTGAACAGCCACATTCTGTTCAAGTGATTGAACATACACAATACACCACTTACTATCAGAATAATATAATGATTAATTCCAGAAAAATGGTTAACGTTGTTCACCGTGATCATTGCTGTTAATAAAGGCTTTTCGCTTTGATCGCTTCCCAGAATCCAATATAGGTGGAGGCATGTGAAATAATCCTCTATTTCTGTAATTTGAGTTTCAGGGTGTGCTAGTTTGGAGAGTTTCTCTAATATCTGTTGAATACTTAATTGCAATCCAATCACAATGCAAAATTACATTTGTATAGCGTCTTTCACATCGGGAGGGTGTCCCAAACGGCTGAATTAGGATTAATTGGACAATCTACGAGGAGCCAATGAGAGGAAGTATAAAAGGACATTGGGAGTGGGACAAAGGGTGTGTGATGTACAGTGGTGCTTTATTGAGAGTTTGGAAAGTCAAAATAAAGAAGCTACTAACACACTTATGTGACTTGGGGAGATGAGAATTTCAAGCAAAATCTATTCAGAGAATGGCTTTCTCCCTTCAAACTTAAATTTACATTTCTAATTTATTTTCCAAACTTTTGGATTGAGTAATATTACTATATCGACACGCTCCTACAGAGAGTGTGAATCTATTCACCCGGCTAGTCATCTGAGAGCAGACTCGAGCAGCAACAGCTGAGAAGCCTCTACTTCTGTAATTTGAGTCTCAGTTTATATTGGTTCGGAGAGTTTATGTGCTCTGGAGTACTGAAAATCTGCCTGGCTCAGTAACTGGATTATGGCCACCACCACAGAAGATTGGCTCAATTCAAACAGTCCGTTTACAAGCATGGGTCCTTGTAGGAGGATAGTCATATGTTGGTCATGGCTCTTAATCTTCATTTTCCATTGGAAACATTTCATTTATTTACAGAACAAAAGGCAATAAGTCCAACAGCAAAATACAAACAAACATTTAATAAGGACACATGTCCTTGTTTAACCATAAATTCCCATTGTTATAACCTGTGAACACACCACACATTGATATATCTAGAGTGGGAAAACATTTGTCATATCTCATCAATTTTTTATGTAACAGTTGGGTCAAACATGGGACATTCACAACAGGATTAATAAAGGATTAGCAAATATTGAATCCCGATGACAATCAGGTGATCTCTGTTCAAATGCAATCTCCTCAATCTTCAACTGGTTGAGTGTCAGCACTTTGCAATTTCATTACCACCAGGATTCGATTATTATTTTTCCATCCTGTTCTGAATGCTACACTGCATTTCTGGTTCCATTTAACCATTGAAAACTGTAAAGAGTTTCACTCACCCTGCTGCTTGTTACAGTCTGCATAAATCTTGGGGAGATGAGAATTTCAAGCAAAATCTATTCAGAGAATGGCTTTCTCCCGTCAAACTTAAATTTACATTTCTAATTTATTTTCCAAACTTTTGGATTGAGTAATATTACTATATCGACACGCTCCTACAGAGAGTGTGAATCTATTCACCCGGCTAGTCATCTGAGAGCAGACTCGAGCAGCAACAGCTGAGAAGCCTCTACTTCTGTAATTTGAGTCTCAGTTTATATTGGTTCGGAGAGTTTATGTGCTCTGGAGTACTGAAAATCTGCCTGGCTCAGTAACTGGATTATGGCCACCACCACAGAAGATTGGCTCAATTCAAACAGTCCGTTTACAAGCATGGGTCCTTGTAGGAGGATAGTCATATGTTGGTCATGGCTCTTAATCTTCATTTTCCATTGGAAACATTTCATTTATTTACAGAACAAAAGGCAATAAGTCCAACAGCAAAATACAAACAAACATTTAATAAGGACACATGTCCTTGTTTAACCATAAATTCCCATTGTTATAACCTGTGAACACACCACACATTGATATATCTAGAGTGGGAAAACATTTGTCATATCTCATCAATTTTTTATGTAACAGTTGGGTCAAACATGGGACATTCACGACAGGATTAATAAAGGATTAGCAAATATTGAATCCCGATGACAATCAGGTGATCTCTGTTCAAATGCAATCTCCTCAATCTTCAACTGGTTGAGTGTCAGCACTTTGCAATTTCATTACCACCAGGATTCGATTATTATTTTTCCATCCTGTTCTGAATGCTACACTGCATTTCTGGTTCCATTTAACCATTGAAAACTGTAAAGAGTTTCACTCACCCTGCTGCTTGTTACAGTCTGCATAAATCTTGGGGAGATGAGAATTTCAAGCAAAATCTATTCAGAGAATGGCTTTCTCCCGTCAAACTTAAATTTACATTTCTAATTTATTTTCCAAACTTTTGCATAAAAGAATGCCTTAATAAACTGAGTTTGGAAAAAAAAGCACAAATACAGTACAAATATATTTTTAAATAACCATTTCCACATAGCTTCAAATACTTCTATTTCACTTCCAATTCCTGGATCTGGACCAGCTATCTCCTTTTCACTTCTTTGAATTCAATGACCAAAAGATTGTGCACCCAACCTTCCTGGTGTCACCCTTAAGATAATTGTTTGGAGGAGCAGAATAATGGTCCAATGTAATTCACCCATCTGTTGTTAAAATATCCTTCTTCCCATTGAGTAGTATTTTCCCAACACAAGGATATCAGGAATTCACCAAGCTGTAATTCTACACTATTGCAGTACCTCATGTAAGTACATACTGTCTTAGTTCAAATGAGATTAACTTCAAATTCAATAGGTACTGCAATCATGAGAATCATTTCACTTTTAGTTTGAATGAAAATGTAAAGAAATTGCAAGCACACAACCAAAACCTAATCTACAATTTTAGACAGGCAAACTTTGGGGATAAAGTTTAAAGTACACTTCATAACATGTGGGGTATCATGTCTCTTAGTGACTGTGGGACCCCGCTCCTGGATAAATCTGTCAAGAATGAATGGAAATTCTTCCAAACATATGGAGCATGAAGAACATGTTCAGGTTAAAAGGAGGAAATTAAATCACCTTATCAAAATCTAATTGAGCCAGTTGTTAGCTAAAGACTCTCCCAAAAGGTTTCAGCACTTGACGTTGGAGTTTCGGATCACAGTGTTTGAGTGCTACTTCTTGAGGTAACCATTTAACTTGATCTGAGCAATCCTTACGGTCACCATCACATGCCTCACAATTGAATTCCAAGTTTGAATGGTTTGTTTGGCTACTTTATGCTACTCCATCTCCTGCACCGTTCTCCTCAGCTTATTTCTCATTATTATTTTTAAGCTTGCGAAAACATTGGTTGTAGGTGACCAGAAACAGCATTTTTAACCTGATCACAAGGGCACACGTACGAGAGAAACGCATCTACTTCATTCTTTACAATAATTCTCTGTGGGTGTATATCATGTGGCAGGTAATGTGCTACAGTCATCTCCCACGCATCCACAAATGCCACATTGACACCCTTGAACATTTTTTTCAACACTAAGTCAAACTGAAACGAGATCCAGTCATTAAGGAAAATGCTGCTCTTATATTCCACTTCACGGACATTGGCAGACTTTATTACAACTTGAGTGTCTGGATTCCTGCTTAGTAATTGTAGAATTGATTTCCGAATAATCTGCAGCCTTCGGATATAAACTTCAACTGGATAATTGCTTAAATGTGCCCATATGGTGATTGCTATAATTGTTTTATTTCCTCCTTTCATTCTATCCAGTTCATTTGCAATATACTGCATTTCATGGGTTGATAAATCAGTGCTTCGGAGTGGTGGACCATGCAATCGAAATGTCACTATGATGTTGTTTTCTATATCCACAGCAAGGTGTGGGCCAATTTTTTTGTCATTGCCAAGATCAAACTGGCGAAGACCTAAAATCAAAGATACATGTTTAATCATGTTATATCTTAACTTGTTATATAAAAATATAATCCTTGCATTTGAATACAGCACCTTTCACACCAGGAAGGTTATTTCAAAGCACTTCCCATAATGTGATTGTAAAATGTATTTGTGAATGACTGTGCATTTTGCAGGCAAATGTGGAAGACAATTTTGCACATTGCAATATCCCACAAACAGACAAGTGACTAACCACTTTATCTGGGAGATTGTTGGCCAGGACACCAGGAGAAACTTCCTTCTCTTTTCGAATAGTGCCCTGGGATCTTTCAGGTCCACCTGAACAGGTAGATGGGAGTATCAGTTTTTAACATCCCATCCAAAAGATGGCCCCCTCCAACAATGCAGAGCTTCTCCAGCATAGCTTTACAGTAGGGTTGTTGAATCCAGATTTGGACTGAGCTGCATGTGTGTGCCTTATGAACAACAACGTGAGCTGCACCAGTCGAAAATTGTTACATTTGGTGATGCATGTGTGAGTATCAGCGCCTTGGGACGTCCTCCCGACGTGAAAGGCGCTATACGAATGTAATCTTGTTGTTGTTGTATCCAATTACGTACAACCTGAATCAAAGACATACGCAGCAACAGCTTAGCTGTAGTGGAATCACTACAACAAAGGTATTGCATATGTGTGTATACATATTTCATCTTGGCAGGACATCCTATGGCACTTAATAATCCTGGCTTGGCACCCTAAAAGGGAGTAGGAGGCAGTGGGGACGGAAAGATGATCGGAAGCTCAGTCAAAGAGGTAGGTCTTGAGATGGACATTGAACAAGGTGAGGGAGGGAGGGAGGGAGGGAAGGAAGGAGGGAGTTAGAGGAACGCCAGGATGGAGTTCCAGAGAGTGGGAGCAGACAGGCTGAAAGCCCAGCTGAGCGAAGGGAGGGTTTGAAGAGGTTGCAGAGATAGGGTGGGGGTGAGACCATGGAGGAATTTAAACATAAAAATCCTAAACCTGTGCTCCCTCCTCCTCCAGGGAGATTAGTCATGGTACTGCCGAACTATCTCTTACAAAGGTTTCATTTCAAAAGAAAATTGGCTCTAACTTGCGAATAAGAGCCAAACTATTCAGTGAGCAGATATGTGAGAAATGTCATGAAAGCTGAGCCCTATTTGCTGCTTATCTGATAAGCTTATACTCACCCTTGCGAATGATTTATCTTAAAATGTACTTCATTCTGCTGAATCAATAAAGGTAAATAAACTGGAGCAGAAAGTTAGGAACTCATGCGAGGGTGTGGCTGGAGTATCATTGTAAACTCTGAAATTGGGGGGCACCAAATTAATTTTATATTTCACCTACAAAATACACAGTCAGTATTGTATATCCTTGCATTTGATATGACGCCTTATCATGTCTTTGAGACGTCTCAAAGCGCTTCACAGAATATACTGGAAAGTGAATTCACTGTATATTTTGTGGGCGAAACGCAGCAGCCAATTGCGCACAGCAGTGTCCCACAATCAGTCGTGAATTCAGTCATAAAAGGAATTATTACCCCTGGAAAAGTGATCCCCCAAAATACCAAAACGGATTGGATACAGAATGCTACATCTAACCTGGCAGAAATTCAATCAGATATTCGAACCACTGTCGTATAGTAGAATCTCCCAAAAAATGAACCACTTTATCCCATAAACAGTTTGTAATGTTTGCAGGAGTGTTGAAGTGGCGAATATTGCAGGTTGTTGACATCCACTGGTCCTTATAGTAAAAACCTGACGGCGAAGTCAGAGACTTGCCACGGACACAGGGTCCGAGATTTGCACCTGAAAATAAAAAGAGAAGCAGAGCTGAAAACAACTTTAAAAATGGGGCCATTTGTGAAGAAAGTACAAGTACACTACGGCCCGAAATTTTGGAACTCTCTCCCTCAATCCCTCCACGTCGTCTCCTCCTTCTCATTTTCAGATCACGCCTGAAGACCTTTCTTTTCGACAGTGCATATAGTCACTTCTCCCCCAAAGCAACCCCCAACCCACCCCACCCCACCCAGCTCAGTGTCAGGCTCCGCCACTGTGAAGCACTCTGAGCAGCAACCATACGTGTAGGGCGTTATATAAATACATGTTGTTGTACATAAAAGCAGAAAAATATTACAAACAGTCCTGTCGAAAATATTCTGTCAGCAGCTAATTTGAACCTGAGCAATACCAATCAGGAAATTCCAAAATTCCACCCTCTTCCTCGTTGAGATAATTCATCCCAATGGGACTGCAGAAGGAGAAAGTGTTAGAATATGATATATGTAATGAAATGCTTTAAGGCAGGGCCGCATAAAATTGTAAACGTTAAGTTGTTAATCTTGTTTATATCAATCAAAATGGCGGATAACATTATTTTGTACTCAAACCATCACTCAACATTTGTTAATAACACAAGTTGTTTTTGTCTGGTTAAGAAGAGATGGTCAACATGAAATGTTGAAGACAACCATTGGCTTTGGGAGGATACAAGCTGTTTTGTAGTCAAAACGCCCAGTTCTTGGGATAAACAGAAGTAACAGCGTGCTTCACTCTTTGCCCAGTTGTGAAAGGCCTACGTGCCTGATAATTGATTGGATGAAGAAAAAGGTATAAAGTTGAAAGATTGTTGACATAAAGCAGCAGAATCGGCAGGGAATCAGTCACACAGAGGCGAAGGGCCAAAGCATGCTGACTGCTCCAGAACCGGGTAGTAATAATAATAATAATAATAATACGTATTCTTACTGTGCTTATATTTGAATAAATTGAGTTAGCCACAAAACTTTATTGTCTGGTCTTTTGACTCAAACACTGGGAGTTGAGATCCCAACAGAAGGGTGAAGGCCTTACATTGCATTAGACTCTTCGCCTGATAGACATTCCTCAGGGCCGAAAGGTGCTATTGTTCCACTATTCAAATGCAAGGATTATTATTATTCGAGGCAAAAGGGGCACTACTGATTACGGAAACTTACTTCAACAGATACAGCAGCTAGTGACAATCTCCTGCAAATGCTGTTGTTTGTTATAAGCGCATGTCTGAAAGATTATGCACTCTTGAAAAATCGAACTGCTGATACAAGATTCATAGAATGGATGGAATTCCCAATTGCAGTCGTCCAAATCCTGCACTGGGTCTTCACTGGTAATGTTCATAGCCTACAATACAGCTAGCACATTGGAGACGTGTATTGATAATCCAGAGCATGCAGACTGCTCACTGGATTCCATATATGTATGATTTCTCTCCACACTTTTGATCATTCAGTCTATACATCATCAGCGCTGAGATAAAGTCCTGGAAATCCTGATCTAACACCATTGTGGGAGCACCATTGTTACAAGGACAGCAGCAATTTAATGAAGGCTCAGCACCTCCTACTCAAGGCAACTTGGGATGGCAATAAACAGTATCAGCAATGTTTTTTGGGTCAGCCAGGTGTCTGACATATGTAGAAACCCCTTACCATGCTTAAGAACATCCAAACCATGCCTCCCAACTAGAGATGGAAATCCCAGAGATAGATTGTTGGAATAGAATGAGCACTCTCTCCCTGGAGGGACACTTCCTGCTTACCTAATTCCGGAATGTATTAGGCGCAGGTTGGCAAGAGCTGAGTCTTGGGGACCTGTATCACCGACAACCCGAGAAAGAGATAAATAAAACTCACCCATTACTTCCTTTTCCTTACCACTGAACCCTGAGGCATTCTGCAATCCCTCCGAAGGTACACTGGCTGCAACCGCTGTGACTGCACTGAAATGTGTCACTGAGGATGTCGATTCTTGCTGTGGTGATTGGAGATATGGATTTTGCGGCTCCATTCCATGGGCATCTCTAGGTTTTCCCTCCTGGTCCTGGACCTTCCTTTCCATTTCCAACCTTACCACAGCTGGTTCTGCTGATAAAATGGGTGCAAATAATCAATTAAGAACTATTGAAAATACTGCATTGCCTTTGGCTTTCACTAAATTGATTATATTGGTCGTATCACTGTTGTAATAACTGTTATCACTGTAAATGATCTTTTCACAAAGAACACAAAATCATTCTTGCTCTATAATAATAACAATCCTTGCATTTGACATAGCACCTAATCACATCTTTCAGATATCTCAAGGTGCTTCACAGAATATACTGTGAAGTGAATTGACTGTATATTTTGTGAGTGATACGCGGCAGCCAATTGCACACAGCAGTGTCTCACAAATAGATGTTGATTCAAGTAACTTTTTTTTAAAGAATTAACTGTAATGGAAGACAACACCCAAAAAGTTAATTAAATAACACAATGAATAACAACTTAAAGCATTAGGTTCCACTCTTTTGAAAAGGAAACCACAATTTATGTGCAGTATGAGAAGATTACTCTTATCAACTTTAGTTATATTCCTTCTACTATATCAAGCTTTCAAACTCAACATAATCCCGACAATTTGTACTTTTCTTACCTGAATGAGACAAAGCCTCCACAGTTACATAACCTGGACCTTTGGGTAATATGGGCTCCATGATTTTGGCTATACTAAAAAAAGTGATCATCTTATTGTTAACATTTTTTTCAAAGTAAAACATCAATATTTAATTCAAGAAATTCACAATGGGCAATCTTACTGCTCATCCCATTCCTCAAAAGCGATCAACGCTTATTTAAAATGATTAATGGAAGTGATTCAAAAACGGCTTATCCTTAAACGGACAATTCAAGCAGCAACCAACATCAATTGTAAGTTAGTTGTAACAATAAGCCTATCATTGGCCAGCAATATATTATGCACAGTCAGGAAAACATGACTACACTATCACAGTAAGAAGGGCGGAAATATGACCTGGTAGTTCATGGCCTCGCTAATTCCATTTTTTTGGTCAGTCGAGTGTCTGACACATGGGGAAACCCACCACCGTGCTTAAGAGTATCCAAACCAAACTGAGAATTCCACGCACCCCACCTACACATGGGATTTCCAGAGATAGATTATTGGAATAGAATGCGCACTCTCTCTCTGCTTACCCAATTCCGGAAAGTTTTAGGTGCAGGTTGGCAAGAGCCAAGGCTTGAGGACCCCAAAGTATGCGTTGGGGTAACTGCTAGTCTAACCAGCTAAAACGCATAGGTTGCCATTGATATTGCTGTCTGGCAAGCTTTCCCACTGCTTGTCCAGCTAGGACCGCCTTCCCATCAGGGTTTTGGCTTGCAGTGTTAACAGGAGCGGAGTGGGATGACTTCCTGCCCCAGTGACTGGCCTGCCCTTCCAACTGTCATCGGCAGTGTCCTGAAATACTGTAGTCCTGCCTTGGTCAGGAACCAGACTACCTTTGGCAGGCATATCACATTGGAACCAGTTCAGCTCCAAGGACACCCCGCTTAACTTCCCTCACCTCAAGAGCAATAGTCTGAGATTCTAGTGGCAGAAATGGTTCTATATCATATCCATATACCCAATTGGGAATAAAAGGTAACATGAAATGAGTGAGAAAGTTAAGCCACATACCTTTCAAAATAGGGATACTCTTCGTTATATAGATTGCTATGATAGCCTCCTATAGAATGGCTTATACGAGTACTACAAGGTAGATTGTGTGGTTTATAACAGAACCAAGGCTCCCCAGTTCTGAGGTCGGTAAAGTTACAGAGTGGTACAATGTCGGGCAAGCAAAGATTGCATACAGTTATCTCGGTGGTATTTCCAGATCTGAATGTGCCAGCAAAGTACACCCTATCTGGATTTTCAACCTGCAACCTTTCAAATACTTGAATCGCTTCACTGGGATAAACCAAGGTAACGGATACTTCAACTTTCCCCGACCAGAATAAAGTAAAATTGATCTTGTACGATCCATTTTGGTAATCGTTAACTGTTCCCACTGAACCCGCTTTGAGCTCTGGGGTGTGGATCCGGGCCTGGAGATAGTCACCTCCGTATTGCTTCGGGTGTCCTACAAAATCATGCATGTGGACCATCACCTGTAACTGATCCCCAACGTGGAAAGTGTTCTGAGAGTTCAAAATAAGAAAATGACTGTGCGATGGGTCAGTGCTCTCCAGAAAGGGTGTGCGAGCTTGAAATGGCTTTGGCCATTCAATCATTTTCATCAGGAACATCTCCTCATTTCTTTCTTCATAGGTAAAGCTACGATTCTTGTACCCACAGTTAATCAGCCTAAGTATCCAAGGAACATTCTTCATATTCACGTGCTGATTGGTTGAGGGATAAAAGTTTGGTTGCGAGACTGAATATTTATGCTGTATAAAGAAACAAAAAACATGTCATCTTAAATTTAATATCCCTTATTGCTTTCTACCCCTACAGACACACTCCAACAATATTATTGAATCAAAGAAGGAGCTGGGGTGCCAGTTACGGCATGTACCTCTACAGACTCTTCACGTGCTTAGATTAAAGAGATCCAATTACATAGAACAGCCTGTACTTAATATTCTATATTTTCTGTAACTTAGACGAGGAGAGTATCCGAAATTATATGTGGACTCCTCTGAATGTATATTGTGTACATCACACTAACTCGTGGGAACTGCTCTCCTCAAGTGAATTGCATATCTCACACTCTTAGTCTAGACTGTTACTGTAATACAGTACTGGGGAAACAATGCCTTGTGACAAATACTGTCTTTAAGTGCAGATGTTAACTGAGGTACCATCTCTCTGTTCAAGAGGACATTAAAGATCTCACAGCACGAACAAAAAGAGAAGAAAATTTCTCCTAGTGTCCTGTCCAACCATCCCCGAGATAAATTGGTCATTCACTTGATCGTGAATGTTTAAGGGACATTGCTGTGAGCAAATTGGCAATTGCATTCGCCCACAAATATACAGTCACCACAACTTGCAGAAACGTTAAAACCACTTTGACACATTTTATCAGCTCATACCAAATGTAAGGATAATGAGTGCAGTACTCCATTGGAGAGGAGTTTCCATGAGTAAGGTCATGCTCGTCTGGCTCCCTTATTGAATTTAAGAACATAAGAACATAAGAATTAGGAGCAGGAGTAGGCCATTCGGCCCCTCGAGCCTGCCCCGCCATTCGATAAGATCATGGCTGATCTTCTGACCTAACTCCAATTGCCCACCCTATCCCCATATCCCCATTTAGGGTTAAAATTTGTAATCTTCCTTAACCCGTTTCATGTCTTGATGATCACAAGGAACACATGAAGGAATATCCAAAATTTCTTTTAATTGGCATTGGCAGAAACTTTAAAACCACTTTGACACGTTTTATCAGCTCATACCAAATGTAAGGAAAATGAGTGCAGTACTCCATTGGAGAGGAGTTACTTCAGAAATTAGCATGCTCTTCCCGGCATCTGGTAATACACAGCCCATTCCTCCATAACAGCTGCTGGAGGTTCAACAACAACAACTTGCACTTATATAGTTCCTTCGCCTTGCTCCCTCCCTTGCCTCCTTCAAGGCACATCTCAAGACCCTCCTCATCTACCACGCCTTGGTCACCCTCCTATCCCTACCCTCCCTGGCCTCCACCCCTCCTGATCCTAACCCTCTGCTCAGGTCCAAATCCCTGGCTATCCAGCACCTTGGGACATCCTCACAAAGCGAAAGGTGCTATACAAATGTAATTTGTTGCTGTTGTTGTTCAGTGTTTAAAAAAAACCAGGAACCTGACTTTAACTGACTATCACATACACATATGTGAAGAAACATGGTAACATAGGGATAATCTTGCAGGGATTTAATACTGCAACCATGAGCCTTGGTTAACATCGCAACTCTAAGAGAATTGGCTATATTATTCCACGTACCTCTGCAAGATACATGTTTAGAATAAGGATATAAGATATCAGCACCATCAGCGCAGAAAGAGTACTGTATATAGCTCTGGTGGTCTGTTCATCCATACTGGGAACCAAGAGATCACTATTGCCAAAACCAATCTGCTCTGCTTCCAGCTTCTTAAATCTGGAAAAAAAGATTAAGAAAACCAAATCCAAAATAAATCTACCGCTAAAACTACAGAATTTCACGTCAGTGCTATAGGATGGTGTAATTGTCTCTAAGGTAGAATATTCAGCTAACCATATAGTCTTGGCCTGTGGTTTAGTCACTGATGATTGGTAAAAACCTTCCTTAAGACAGCAGGAATAGACCAGCAATTTGTGTGAATCAGACTAATCAACGCTTATAGTCATGATCATACATAACATAATCATCCATAATTAATCATTATTTACAGCCACATAGGTGATTGTAATAATTAAAGTGAACTAGTTTGAATTAGACTGCATGTGACAATCTGGAAGAAAACAGAAGGACACAGTTCATTTATTTTACTCTTTCTCAGGATGTGGGCGACAGTGTTTATTGCCCATCCCTAGTTACTCTGAGAAGTTGATGGTGGGGTCTTCTCTTTAAACCACTTCAGTTACTTTGGTGTCCCGTCAATAATATTAAGGGACACCATCACCAAAAGGAACTTTCACGATTAGAATTTTGACCTTGTGACGATGAGGGAAGGGTGATATAAGTCCAGGTCAAGGTGCTGCGTGACCTGGAGAACTTGCAGAGTTTCCAGGATGACATTGTCCTTGTTCGGGGCTACGTGTCCTCAATATAAAGGACACAATATAAAAAGTCAATTCACTTTGCAGTGATATTCTGTGAAGCGCTTTGGGACGTCTAGAAGATGTGAAAAGTGCTATATTAAATGCAAGGATTATTATTACTATTATTATTATTATTATTACTGGGTCCGAGAAGAGAATAGCTGTAGACCAAATACCCCACATGAGAGCAGACAGAGTTCTGTATCTAAACAGCAGAGTTACTTTTCTTCAGGACGGCAGCAATTGCTGTTCTCACAGTGGGAGTGTTGGCGAGGTTGCAGTCTGCTAAAAAAATCAAGACCGTGCTAAAAAAGAGAATTGAAAATTGAATTGAATTGAATTGAATTATCGGAGCTTGAAACTTCTAACTTGGTGTTAAAATTTGAGAAAAAAAATCAAGAAAAACAATTGTTAGTTAAAAGAAACTCAGGTTGAGGTGGAGAGATAGCCGTAGCAACTCTCTGAAACTGAGGTTTTAATTGACTCATTAAAACAAAAAAGGAAGAGAACCAACAGGCTCTCATAAAAGTATTAAATAATGAGCTGTTAAACAGGCTTGCGGTAGAAACACCAGCAGCGCTTTGAATTTGCAGCCGCGGCCAAGGATGCGTGCAATATAATCCCCACTGCAAGAATGGCAGAATGCCTGTTAAGATAAAATCTAAAACAGAAAGCGTTTTAGGTTTAAGATCGTGCCTGAGAAAAAAAGTTATTGAAGGGTAGTTAACGTCCGCAATTTCTATTGCTAATTTAGCCACTCTGCCAAATAAAGCAGCTGTTCAACAAGAACAACAACAACAACAAAATTATATTTCTAAAGTGCCTTTCACGTCAAGAGGACGTCCCAAGGCGCTGGACAGACAGAGTTTTGGATCCGAGCTGAGGGTCGGGGTGGGTGGGCAGGGGTTGGAGGTAGGGAGATCGAAAGCACGGTCGAAAAGAAGGGTCTTGAGGTGGGTCTTGAAGGTGGCGAGGGAGGGGGCGAGATGGAGGGACTGCTGGATGGAGTTCCAGAAGATGGGAGCAGATTGACGGAAGTGGGGCGAGCGAGGCGGGGGACGTGAAGCAGGCCGGAGCCCGCTGAGCAGACGGAGCGAACAGGGTGGTAAGGGGTTCGGAGGTCGGAGAAGTAGGGTGGGGAGCAAGACCGTGGAGGGCTTTGAAGGTGAGGACCACGATCTTGAACTGTATCCTCTGTGAGATCTACCTCCAATCTGTAAAGAGCCGGCAGTGGAAGGACTTCATAGATCCGGAATGGGATGATTTGGTAGCAGCCCTCAGTGAAATTAAACGTACTATAATCAGGGAGAAAGGGCGTGCTGAAAAAATTGAGCTGATCAGGACGTTAGGCCGGGGGTACAAAGTCAACAACTTGCACTTATATAGCACCCACCACGCAGGGTAACGTCTCAGAGCGCTTAACAGTGTCGGAGCCCCGACTCCGAGGCTGGAGTGGGGGGACAAGCATGGTCGAAGAGGAAGGTTTTCAGGCGGGACTTGGAAAAAGGGGATAGAGGGGGGCAAGGCGGAGGGGTTGAGGGAGAGTGTTCCAGCGTTTCGGGGCGTAGTGGCTGAAAGCGCGACCTCCGATGGTGGGGCGGAGGGTCCGAGGGACGAGCAGGAGCCCGGTGCCAGTCGAGTGGAGGCGCCGGTTGGTGGAATGGGGAGGGAGGAGGTCGGAGAGGTAGGGAGGTGCCAGAGAGTTGAAGGGATTTGAACACGAGCGTGAAGATCGTGAAGTCGATCTTGAAGTCGGCACCTCAGTGATCCCAGCTTCCAAAATCACTGAATTGTTTTCGACGAAACAGTGGGGCGAGATGTTTCTCATGGGCTGTGTCTCTGGAGCGGAGGGATTTATACTTCGGAAAATGTAAAAAAAAAAGAAAAAAAAAAACGAACGCTGCCAAAGGACAGTCGTCTGGTTGTTGACTTAATGTGACCGCAAAAGCCGCAGGGCCAAGCACCCGCTTAAAGCGGGCGTACACACCAGGGCGATAGATCAAAGCACACGGAGGAGGGGGACGAGGGGCGTAGCGAAGGGCCGGAGTCAGCTGAACCCCCACCTTTGTAAATCTTTGCCAGAGAAAAAAAATTAAAACACCACCATCGGACCCCGGAAATTGATTGGAAATCCTTCAAACAACCGTTAAAGGTTAAACGGCGTTTGGGAATAAAGCCGCTGCATCGGGCAACAAGTCCCTGCATTTTGAGATGTCGCGGCACCCCCCACCCCACCCCACCCGCCCCCCCAACCCGCTCATCCCTTATCCTTACGTCTGGGGGGGGGGGGCCTTTGACGCCGGCAGGACTTCCCCGAGTACTTCACAGGTTGCGCGAAGAAGCGCAGCGACTGTGTGATTTGACGGAGGGTCAGCGTCCGCCGCACAGCGGGCGACCAATTTTATCTCCAGGGGATCGCTGGGCCCCGGTTTACGTCGGGGGCAAAAAAAAAAAAAGACTCTTTCCCAAACGTGCCGCGAGATCTGGAGCGAGATCCACCTGATCAGGTCTCCACCTCGGACATCCGCGCGAGATCCAATCTCCCCCGACACCTCCCCCCCACCCCAACCCCACCACCTGCCTCAAACTCTCCTCGCTCGGCGCTGGATTAATTTCGTATCGACGAAGCCCGGTGCCCGCCCCCCCCACCCGCCCGTCACCAGTGAGCGGACCTCCTGCCGTCAGCGCCCGGCGGGGATGCCTCTTCTTTGCGTCCTCGCTCTCGCTCACGCTCGCGCGCGCGCCCGCACCAGTGGCCGGTGAGCCAACACTGAGCGCGTCGCCGACCTCAGGCGAAAAGCCGAGCGTACGTAGCCCGGGCCTCCTCCGTCGCCGCGGGCGACGGCAAATTGGATGCGCGCGGCGGGATTCAAGAGAGGGGGCGGAGGGCCGGGGAGGGTGGGAGTAGGAGGGTGACCGAGGGCACGGTCGAAGAGGAGTGCCTTGAGACGTGCCTGGAAGGAGATCGAGGGGTGGAGGGGTAGGGGCTGGGGGCGAGGCGAAGGGAATCTGGGATGGAGTTCCAGAGGGTGGGGGCAGAGAGGCCCGACCGTCGATGGTGAGGGTGGGGGTCCGGGCCGGCTGGGAAACGAACCCCATGTGATTTATTTAATATCGCTTATTGCCAATTTGATCAATAATGACGAAACGCTCCCCGATCCCATTTCCACGTTCGCTGTGGGCGAAGCCTAGTTCTGGGCTCCTCTGCTCCGTCGCAGGAATGTTTCTAGTTTATTGTTTTTGTTCTACCAGCCCCCGCCTTCTTCTGTAATCGATCTTCCTTCTGAAACCCGGGGGTGGGGAGCGCGGGGGTGGTTGGGGTGGAGGGGGGGGTTTGTCTCTCCTCCTTTTCGTTGATATCCTTTCGCTGTGCGCTAACGTGACACGGCGTGCGTTTAAGTGGTGAGAACGGGTTAAGGACTGAATTACAATGATAATATCAACAATAGCAGCAAACCTCGTATTTGAAATGGCGCCTTATCACGTCTTCGAGACGTCTCAAAGCGCTTCACAGAATAGACTGCAAAGTGCAGTGACTGTATATTTTGCGGGCGAAACGCGGCAGCCACTGGCGCGCGGCAGCGTCCCTCGAAAACCGCCGAGGATCGAGTGACCAGATTAGTGTTATTTTCAATATGTATCTGATTTAACACCTAAAATCGAGAGGTAAACTTACGAGTGCTCAATATTTGAGGCGTTTGTGGCACGAGGCGTTTGTGGCTGCCAGTCGCTTGCTCTCCCTGTCAGTTAGGTGCTGATACATTGTTTTACACCCGCAGGAACTTCTCCTTCTGCGCTCGAACTGCCGGGAGGACGTGCGGTTCGGATAATTGGTTATTTTTATTTCAGGCGGGAAATCCTCCTCCTCCTCCTCCCCTGCACTTGTCGGTTAGATGTCGTTGTGCAGGAGGGTTTCTTTTTTTTTAGAAAAACAATCCTCTCTAAACACTGACACTCGTTGATTGACGCACACGGCACATATGAGCTCTGAGAGGAATGGTGATGTGTGGCGCTGTTTGATGTCACCCGTCGAAGGGTGTGGCGCTTTGGTTGCCATCTGTCCAGTTTCCCAAAATCAGACGAAGGTCCATTACCATACTATATGTTCTTAATGTGCCATTAGGGCAATAAAAAATTTAACGATATTTAAGTTTGTCACACAGATGTTTTCCTTATTTCTTCTCCACTTTTTGAAATGATACCTCTGTTCTTCCTGCCATCGCAAGTTCCTCGGCAGCTTCTGTCTTCGCAAATAATAATAATCATCCTTGCATTTGATATCGCGCCTTATCATGTCTTCGAGGCGTCTCAAAGGTTTCACAGAACATACTGTAAAGAATAGTGACTGCATATTGTGTGGGCAAAAAGCGGCAGCCAATTGCGCACAGCAGTGTCCCACAAACAGTTGTGGATTGAGCGACCAATTTATTTGTTATTTTTTTTGAAGGAATTATTACCCCTGGAAAACTGATCCACTAATCTTCTAACAACTGGGTTGCTACTTATTGCTATGTAAACGGGCGCTTGGCGTAAGGAAACGTACCCAAGGTTTCACCCTGCCCGGGAATCAAACCCAGGTCCTCTCGCTTGCGAGGCGAGTGCACCACAAATGCTTGTCATTTTATAATTTTATTTCTATTATTTTACCAGTTTATAACTGAAGTGCACGAACAGCTCAGCTTTCAATTGTGGGAGGCACAGGTTCTGCATCTCACTGAAATGCATTCTACAAAAGTGTTGCTGGGTTTTCACTTTTCACTCGATTCCAGCAACGCTTGTAGTCACTGTCACATAAGAACTTAAGAATGTAAGAAACGCTAGACAGAACAAATGCTAGACGCCTTCCACCTTCAACCTTCCTGGCTGTCGCAAACACGTATGTCCCGAACTACCTGTGTGCTGTATCCCATAATGTTATTTCCCAAAACAAATCCATCTAATCTGCGTTTGAAGGAATCAACATTTCGATTGTTCAGTCACCAGTGAGCAAAACGAAGCAAGTGGCGGCCACAAAAGCAATGCATTGATCTTGGCGTCTGCCGACACCTCTCGTGATTAAAAAAAACCTGACCTGTGAGCCTGGGTTGCGGCTGGTCTGTGTGCGTGGAGTACTCCATAATTGGAGTCGAGGTACAGATCAGCCATGATCTAATGGCATGGTGGAACAGGCTGGAGGGGTTGAATGGCCTACTCCTGTTCCTATGTTCCTACATGAGGGCTGTCACACATGTGTGCACACAGCCCAGCCGCTTCCTGCGCTCACAGGTTCTCCCCCCCTCCACCTCCTCTGTCCCCCTCCTCTCTCCTCCCTCCTCTCTCCTCTCCTCTCTCCCCCCCCCCTCTCCCCCTCTGCCTGTTGGACCACACTGCTCTAGAGTCTTTAGTTCCTTGAGGGAGGCATCTCCTGACCACTGCGGGAGATGGGATGAAGGTGGGGGGAGGGTTGGATCCATTTATGTTGTGGGGTTGAATGAGATCAGCTGATATTTGCTTTGAGGCGTCTCGAAGATGTGATGAGGCGCTATACCAAATGCAAGGATTATTATTATTATTATTCCTGTAAAGCGCTTTGAGTATGTTATATTCCTCTGCAGCCACAGGGTAGCATGTAATTTAATTCAATTCATGTTACACTCATTTACAGGGCAGTGTCGTCGTTCAGTTCAATTACATGATGTAGCCACAGCGCTGTAATTCAATTTAAACATGCTATTCTCCATGGCAGCTACAGGGCAGCACTATACTTTAATTTAATTAATGTTATTCTCCATCGCACAAGATAAGGTAAGAATTGAACCAGGTAAGGGCAGGACCAGGAAGATTGAGCTGAGAGGAGAGGCAGCAGAGAAGAATAGAGTGGTCGACAGTGTCGAAGGTGGCAGAGAGGTCAAGGAGGACAAGGAGACAGAAGGAGCTCTGTTAAAATGTCATTTGTTTCCGTTCTGTGGGCGGCACGGAAACTCGATTGGAGGGGTTGGTAGAGGGAATGACTGGAGAGGAAGGAGCAAAGCTAGGAAGCAATGACCTGTTTCAGGACCTTGGAGAGAAAAGGGATGGTGGAGATGAGGCACTAGTTGGAGAGCAAGGATGGGTCCAGGGAAGGTTCCAGTGCAACAACAACAAAACTTGCACTTATATACCACCCCTCACGTAGGGTAGGGTCTCAGAGCCCTTGACAGTGGCAGAGCACGACTCCAAGCCGGGGGGAGGGGAAGTGACTGTAGGCAGGGTCGAATAGGAAGGTCTTCAGGTGCGACCTGAAAATGGGGACAAGGCGGAGGGATACAGGAAGAGTGTTCCAGAGTATCGGGGCATAATGGCTGAAAGCGCGGCCACAAATGGTGGAACAGAGGGCATGGGGAACATGCAGGAGGCCAGAGCCAGTCAAGCAGAGGCAGCGGGCTGTGGGTTGGGGGGTAAGCAGGTCGGAGAGGTAGAGAGGTGTCAGGGCATGAAGGGATTTGAAAATGAGCATAAGGATCTTGAAATCAACCCATTCGGTTGATTGGGTGCCAGCGGAGCCTGTCTGGATCTGGTATGATGGGAGTACAGAGTTAAGTGAGGGTAAGTCTGCAGGTAGCAGAGTTTTGGATCAGTTGCATCCTGTGCATGGTGGAGCTGAGGAGACCGGCAAAGAGGGCATTTGAGAAATCAAGTCGGGAGGTGACAAACGCATGGATGAGTGTTTTGGCCGCGTCTGGGGTAAGTTATGGTTGGAGGTGGGGTCAGATGTGGGAAAGGAAGTATAGTAAGATAATTGGACTTTGTTTGAGCTGTGATTGGCCCAAGTAGTTCTGTACTGACTTCAAACTCCACCTCTCTACGTAATATTTTGGTAAACAATTTGTCTGTGATCAATGAACATGTTTGCTTTGGTTTGGTGTAAGATTAGAAGTTTAGCCTGATGCCTATGGTGAACGAAAGAGGAGATGGTTTACTGTGTGTGGAAAAAGCAGTCTGTTCCTAAATGCTCTTTTCTCTCCACAAAATGTGATAGATTATGTTTGATGCAGCTAATGTGGAAAAAAATGGAAACATCTGTTTTTAATTTGTTTCCAATATGTGTTCCTCTCGCTGACAGTAAATTTTGAGTTTAAAATATTTTTTTTTCATTTAACGTGCAAATACACACTCGAGATGTTTGAAGCAATTAAGAGTGGGTTGAAAAAAGTAGTGTCTAGCCAGTTTAGTGTAAACCCATGGGTTTAACTGGATTGGTGTGGGATTTAGAGTCTCCTGTGGTTCTCGGAGGGCTTATATTTTGAAAAGGATCTATTTGGGTTTCAGACGCAACAGATCCAGCCACCTGTGGCGGGTGGTGGGGGAAGTGGTTGCCTCACACATTTTTGGGGCCGTTCCCTTTAAGCACAGTCGGGAAACACCACAGTGTGCACTACATACACCTACCACTCACCTTGATAAGACGCACTTGCCGATTTTGGATGGTGTTGCATCCGTACCAGAAGCATCAAACCCAGAAACATCACAAACACACTGCACATACAGTAGACAATCTAGACCTGTAATTTCCACCCTGTAGGTGGGAGGAGTGCCTCACCTTCTGTAAGAATGCTTCTTATCTGCTTGCGTCATTGTTTCACCTATCTCCAACTAGCAGCTAATAAGAGCTTTCTGCCCCAGGAATGTAAACTTGTTCACACAAAGGGTTTGGCTCGAGGGCTTGTTCGATTCCAACATTCTGAGATTGTACGTTA